TTCGCCTGTTAGGTTAAGAGGGTGGTTGAGGCTGGTCAACAGAATTATTATGCTTGCCCTTAAAGTCTTTGCCAATGATATCTTCTACAAGACATGTAGCTGGATAAAAGTCTTTGCCAATGATGTCTTCTACAAAAAGATAGCAGTTAACATCTGCCCAAGATGATTAATTTTATTAAGACACTATCTCCAACATCTCATCATTATAATCATCCTGAATTTGTCCTAAACTGAGGTAGTTTAAATAGGTTACTTCCTGTAAGCAATACTTTAAAACGTTGATGGGAATATTTTGGAAATACATTAAGAAAAACATTACATCTAAAATTACATCTAACAGAATAGAAAGACATTAAACAGAATACAAAAACATCACATCTAACAGAATACTTAAGAGAAAGGTGAGCATAGGTTTTTAAGTTAAAGTCATTAGTTGGTTGTTGAGCTCGCACTACATTAGCGATTTTAAACAGAACACAAACATACATAAAGTAATTTATATAGTAACTTTTTTGCTTCAACAAAAACTTAACCTTTTTGCTTCAACATTTTTGTATGTCTAATCTATTTTAGAAAAACAATAATAAACATATTTTTAATTCATTTTTTTAATAATTAAAAAATAAACATTTTGGCCATGAATTATAAATAAGTTTTAATTTTTGAAGGTATTAATTGATAATTCTGCAACTCACATCCAACAACCATTTCATTTTTAGATATCATTTACATATATAAAGTTTATTTATGAAGAAGACAATATATATATATATTTTATAAAGATTTATTGATGAAGAAGACAATATATATACATATTTTTTTTAGGTACCCCAAGAAGACCTAATGGTGTTGTCACAGAGTGCCGCGGAAGTATGCAGAGTACTGCATTTAACCAGGAAGTTCATGCCTCCTTCCTTATCGTGAAGCGAAAATATGTCTAGAGCTTGTTTCGAACCTAGATCTCCTGCTTATAAAGCAAGCGCTCTAACCACTGCACCATAGCTAATGCGGTTAGAGCGCTTCATCAAAGTTACTGTTTTCTGTTCACCATGAAGTCATTGCAATTAAATAGTTATTTTTAAATAAATTATAAATTATCAATTGCCTGTTTGTACTTAAAAAAAAGAATTGATTTTATTTAAAGTTATTATTATTAGAATAATACAAATTTGTTAATTTTTAAGCATTAACTAATATTTGTATTTATAAAGTTTAGTCATGAAGAACTATTACAAAGATTGAAATTTAATCAAAAAAAAAAAAAGAAAAGAAAAATCTATCCACGCTGCATTGTGCTGCTGCAATTTCCAATCGTAACCATTGTAACAAGGTTTCATCTAACGCCAAAGCAAGCTATTCTTAGGTCACAAAATCTCGTATCTCCAAAATTAAGCTCCCAAGACTTCTGGAGAGTATTTAAAAGTGTCTATAGTATGGGCAAATTCGTTATTTCTCCTCTCTTGCATGGTTCAGATTTTTTTACCTCACCTTAAGACAAAGCTGAATTGCTTTTTAGCAATTCAGAACTTTAGAACTTTATAGAAACCATATATCAAATTTAATGGAAATTAGCATCTGCTAAGGTTACATCTCTTTATTGTGCTGGCCACCTTTTTACTCCAGGTTCTATTTTCATCTCTATAAATCTCAAATCTGTCCTTGTATGAAATATTGTTCTCATATCTGGAATGGATCTTTAAATAATGCCTTTTCTCTTTTATACAAGGTGCAAAAATGCATTATAAACATAGTTGGGTCTGCTCTTGCAGCCAACCTTCAATTAATGTCAGATTGTCGTAATGTTGCTTCTTTTTCTTTTTTCTAAAAATACTATAATGAATGCTGCTCTAATGAGCTAACACCTCTTGTCCATCTACTAAAATTCATTCTCCTGTTGCTTGTCATTCAATCAAGTCTTGTCCTTTTACTGTGGCTATAATTTGCAATCTTTTAAGTTGTCTGTGAATCTTTATTTTGCTTTATAAACTTCATTTTTTCTCTTTCAATAACTTCCAACTCTAATAGTGATTATTTGCAGCCTTGTTGAAAGTGAAGGTTAATAATTATAAAAGAAAAAACAGAAAAGCTCTTAATTTGCAAAAGCTTTTAATACTGTTGACTATAGTCTTTGGATTTCTAAATTATAGATTTTGGGGAATTGTAAATGACTGGTTTCTATTTGAAAACAATTTGTAAGTAATAATAGTTTTAATTCTAATAATAAATCTGTTTTGTGTGGTGTTCCTCATGGTTTTGTTTTTGGTCCTCTTTTGTTTTTAATTTGTTAATGACCTAACTAATTTTTTTGACTTCTTGTCAGTTCATCTGTTTGCTGATGATGCAAATCTCTTGCATATCAACAAATTGTATTATTCTTTATTAGAAAATGTAAATTAAGACCTAAAAGGTATAGTTCTTAAGTTAAATGCTAGCCTTATGTCTTAACACTTAAAAAATGTTTACTAATTTTTTTTTCATTTCCAAGAAAAAATTATTTCTATAAAAATATTGAAATTAAAATCAAAATTAGTAATAAACAGCTATATTCTTTGAGAGTTATTAAATATCTTGCTGTGTTAATTGATTGCAGTTTTTCATAATATTTTCACATTAATGAGCTACACAAGAAACTCCAGCTAACCATATGATTTTAATAATTAGTTATTATGTTTATACATTGAAGAATTTACTATGATTTATTCATATATAATATAAGATCTCATCTTAGTTATTGTGGTCAAATTTAGGGTCAAGTTGAAAACACGTTAATAAGTTGCTATAGTCTCAGTGTCAATCCATTAGAATAATAAACTTTCAGCCATTTAAATCAGACACATTATATTCCTATAAAAAACTTAACATTCCAACTTTTCTAGCGTTAGTAAGGTATGCTAATTTTCATATTTTTTAAAATAAAAATTTACCATCTATTATAAACTTTTCACAGACTAGTTCATTCTTACTCTACCAGAAATATATACAATGGAAAAATAATGTACCATCTTATAAAACCCAGAAGCGTGGTAAGCATTAGGTTGTCTATTAGTGCATCTGCAGGGCTCCCACATGTCCTGAAATTACTTAAATTTCAGATATTTAAAAATCTGTCCTTAAATGTTCTGAATTATTTTAATTTTGCTGATTATCCTGAAATTTTAAAGCACATTTTTAAATATACCTGGGCTAAGCACAGTTATTAGGAATGTAGGGAGTTATCCTATATATATATATATATATATATATATATATATATATATATATATATATATATATATATATATATATATATATATATATATATATATATATATATATTATATATATATATATATATCCATTAGGTAAGTGATCCTGGCCTGTTTACCTTAGCTGTGATTAGGTAGTTTTTATTAAATATATTATGTGTAGTAGTCATAGTATTTGACTAGTCTAGAAACATTTTTGCAAATGTAGGCGGTTTTCTAAAAACACATAAGTTTCTCTCTATACTAGTGCTCAGCCTACTTAAGATTGCATTAAGTTGTAAACGGTAGTGGTGTAGTGGTAAAACGGTAAGCGTTAATGGTGTAGTGGTAAAACACTCGCTTCATAAGCGAGAAGTTCCGTGTTCGATCCCCACCATGTCCCTAGTAGTACCGCGTAATAATTTTGAAACTTAATAGGATAAAAAATAATCTTTTTTTTATTTTATTCTTTACTAAATTGTTTAGTAATCTTGTCTTTGTGTTTGGCATTATGGTGATGACTTGTCCCTGATGATTCACCTTGTGATATACATAGTTACTTGCAAAATAAACACATAAATATACTCTCTTTACTATTATTAATGTTTTGTATTATTAATAATGTTTTGTATCAATTACTTAATAAATAATTGTTTTGATCTTCTTGTTTTATATAAAATACAAATAAAACAAATGAGGTATGGACTGGCTTAGGGAAGGAGGAGCATGTTTATTGGAACTGCCTTACATAATTTAAATAATGTCCTGAAATAATCTTGAAATTTGAAAAAATTTTAGTCCTGAAATTCAAAAACACTATGTGGGAGTCCTGGCATCTATGAATGGAACAGGAGTCTTACATGCATTTTTAATGAGCTCGAAAAGCTATAACTTATAATATCTTTTCTTCATCTTAAACAAAATTAATTAAAAAAAAATCTGAAAAATAATTTATTTTAACTTTTAGACATTATTATCCTTACTATTAAAGTATTTTCTTAATTTTTTTTTTTTTGTTATTACTTCAATTATTATCAGTACTTTTTTGCTTGTTTATTTTTTCTTTTTTTTATTATTATAACCTGCAAATTATGATTTCTACATATTTATTTTTAATTTATGCTCTATGTGCTTTAGTTAATTTGTTTACATTCTATGTGTTTTAATGTATGTTTTCGTGCTTATTATTTTATATTTAAAAATTGATGTCACTTTTTTGATCATGATTGATATTTTTCTTATAACTACCATTTTATTATTATTTTATTATATTATTATTATTTTTTATTCATTATTATTATTGTTATTATTGCTATTATTATTATTACTATTATTATTGCTATTATTTATATTATTATTACTAATATCAATACATTGTAAAAATGATTTATGGAAAATAAATAGCTTAATGCTGTTGTACAAACTTTATTGCCTACCCAAGAAGCAAAAATTTGTTTATCCCAGTTAATTTAGAATCCAAACTTAAAGTTATCATTTAAAACATTAATGGAAGTATTTTTTATTAATGGCTTTGTTTTTTAAGTGGTCTTTTTAAAGGGATGTTAACAACTGGTTTCGGTTCGAAAATGTTAAAAAACACACAAAAAAAAATTTCTTTTTTATATTTTTTAAAATAGAACACCAAAAACATTATATATATATATATATATATATATATATATATATATATATATATATATATATATATATATATATATATATATATATATATATATTTACACACACACACTTTTATATACAATATTCTTTTTAGAAAATATTTATATATAAAATTAAAAATGGCAACTGGAGATATAAGAAACAATTTGCGCAAGCTTGTGAGCGAGCTTAAGCATATCAAATATGAAGAAAATCTTGATTTTGAGCAAATGATTATTGGACTTTCTACACCCTTTTTGCCCATATTATTCCATGTTTTTATGGAATACTCCAGCGAATTAACCTCTTACTTTTTATCTAAAGGTTATAATTTCTATGGAAAGAGTGATTCAAGATTTCTGGAATCTGTTTATAGAATACTTGTTCAAGAGTTCCAAGAAAAACCTTTGCTTACAAAACAGCAGTTTTTTTCGATCGGATTTGCAGAAGTAAAAGTAATTTTTGTTACAAAAATTTTAAAACTTTGTATAAAAAAAAATAAGGATATTTTGTTAAAGCAAGCATTGAAAAAAAAGCTAAAGCATAATTCTGATCCATGTCAGAGTGTTGTTTTTGGTAATGGTAGTTCAGAAAAAGGACTAAGAAGTGTTTCAAATCTTGAGGACAATGAAATTAAACCTGTTGTAGCTCCATCTGCTGTTTTTAATAGTTTGCCTTTACCCACTCCAGAACTTGCTTTAACTCCAATTAAAAAAGGAAGTATTTATTCGAATTCACAATCCAAAACTAACTCTGAATTACCAAAACATGAAATGAATGAGTTAAAATCCAATGTGGAAAAGGTTAAATGTGATTCTTATGTTGAAAAAGATAACTTTGATACTTTAAAAAAATCAACTCATTCAGAAGATTTATTTTTCAAGAAAGACAATAGTTTTTATGTTTCTCCTCATATACTAAATCATTTAAAACAAAACTCAAAAGCTTTAGAACATCTGGTTAATCAAGCGAATTTATCAAAAGATGAGCCTTCACATGGAGCTTTAGATGGTTTAAGTTCATGCTCAAATTGTTTGAAAAATTCTGAATTAATACGTGATTTGGACATCAAAGTTCAGAAAATAGAACAAGCACTCGATGCATCATCTAATTTAAACGTTGATCTTAAAGCGAGAGTTTCAATTATGGAGATTCAAATTAAAGCAATGGAGAAGAAACTTTCAGAAAATAGTATTATTAACAAAAATGATAATGTTGACTTATCTGATTTAGAAAATGAAAAGCCTTACAATCCAAATAATATTGAAAAAGGTAAAATCAGAGATTTGAAAAATAAAGACGTTTCTTATTGTGAATATTCACCTGTAAAGTATACAGACGATGAAGAAATTATTAAAGATTTTAAACCAATAAGTTACAAAAATTTTAATAATGACTATTATTTAAGGGAGGAAGAAAAGGAAAATTTTGATTATTCTTCATTGAGCAATTCTAATATTGATTTTGAAATTTCAAAAGTTGATGGTAAAGTATCATTAGTTGATAATAAATGTACTGAAAAAAATATTCAAACAAATATTTTAACATCAAACAATTTCATTTTTGATGCAAAGACAAGTGAAACTGTTAAAAGTGTGAAGCAGCGTTTGGAAGAGACTGAAAGGTTATTGCTTGATAAAAAAAGCAGAGTTTCTAATTGAATTTTATAAAATAATATTATTACAGGCTAATATTGATATCCGTTTTTATTAGAATTTTATTACTATCATATTTAATATAAATAAATTAGTTTATGTAATTGTTTGTGGTATAATTTTTTTGTAAAAATTTATTTTGCTTGTATTGTAATTTGTAAGTTATTATCAGAATATTTATAACAAATGGAATAATACTATAATAATTTCTCTTATTCTTTTTTTTATAATATTGTATTTTATGTTTTTCAAAATATAGATATCTATTTTTTACTACTTTACCTTATCTTATCTATCGTGTTTATAATTTATTGGTTGTTTTTTAGTTCACTTGAGTTAATACTAAACTGATTAATACTCAAAAAATTAAAATTGATTAAAATAAAATTGAAATAATAAAATGTAAAACACAACTTTATATAGAGCTTGTTATTTATATAATATTTCCTCTCTCTCATTCAATATATATATATATATGTATATATATATATATATATATATATATATATATATATATATATATATATATATATATATATATGTATATATATATATATATATATATATATATATATATATATATATATATATATATTATATATATATATATATATAATTATAGATTATTTTTTTAATATATATTTATATATGCTTGTATATCATAATTTTCTAAATATGTCCTAATAATGGATGTCAACGAAGAAGAACTTCATTGGATAGATGAGATAGTAAGTTTTATATAATTTTCAAGTTGCTTATTTAAGTTTACTTTGATAACTTTTTTTTTCACAAAATTAACTATTCTTATAGTGTGCATGTAATGGTTTGCAAAGCGAAAAATCAAGTCTCAATAGTATTGAACATATAGAGCTATTTTTGAGTAGTATTCATATAATTCCATCTATGAAGTGTTTTATAAATTTAACTTTGTTGAAATTTGTTGGATGTAACATTTCGAGGATTGCAAATTTGTGTCAACTTGTCAATCTCAAAGAACTGTGGATATGCGAAGGAAATCTAAAAGTGAAAATTTTTTCATTTATAATCACTTATACTTTTAATTAATCACTTTAGTTTAAATAATATAACAATAAAATAATATAACACTAAAATAATATAACACTATAATTGACTTGTGCTTTGCTTCAACTTTAATTATTTGTTAATTAAAGTAAATACAAGTCAATTAAAAGGTTTTCTATTTTACTGACAAAACTTTTTAACTGGTTTGTTCGTTACGTCAATTAACAAAACTTTTCAATCAACTTGTTCTTTATTTTAAATTGAAGTAAAGATAGGATGATTCCTTAAGCCTAAAATTAGAAGAAAGAAATAAAAAATTAAAAATAATAAAATAAGACAAATGTTACAATAATAAAATAAAATTTAGCAGTAAAGTGTCAAAATAACAGGGATTATGTTTTTCATGGTATTTCCGAAATTCAGGATATTTCTATACATATTTCTTTTTTCTGGATATCCAAATAGTTTTCTTTAAGTACAAGTTAAAAATATTTTTTTGTCATCAAATAAGTAAAACAGTAATGGTATCGTTCATCAATTACTTTATGCTATATTTTACTTAGTTAAGGCATTATTTGTACAAATAATTTTTTCTTATTTGTGCGTGCATATTTATTAATAAAAGGATTCCTAAGTGCTGAGACAAATTGAAGCAATTGCTCAGCTTTACGTGAATAAAAATTTGAGCAAAATCGCTAAAAATTTTATTCATGTAAAGCTGAGCAATTACTAGAAAAACGCTGAGTAAAAGCAATTGCTTTTTATTTACCTGGCCTATTTAAAAATGTATGTATTTTAATTATAAAATAAGTTTTGAGTTAATTAAAATTACCAAATCAATTTGTTTATTGAGGTATTAACAAAAAAGCATTTATTATTTTGCCATTATACTTGCATTTGAAAGGTTAATATAAACTTAATATTTTTTGTAGTAAAATATCTGGTTTGAATAATTAATGTACTTACTGCAGAGTTTTTTAAAGGATTTTCAAATAATCTCACAATTAGATTAGGGTTTTCCCCTTTAAAAAATGTTTGGGTTTAAGTTCAACTGGAGGCTTTTGACAAAATAAAAATTGTAATTAAACAAAGAGTACTGCTTTTCTACTTTGTTTTATTTTTGTTTCCATTAAAATATTTCATTTTCATTTATCCTGAAATCAAATTTGTTTGCACTATTTTCTTACTAAATCCAAATAAAAAAATAAAAATTGTTATTTTGGTTTTAGATTTTATTAACAAAACTTGTATCATAATTTTCAAATTTATATATCTCATATCTATAGCGCTAATATTAATTTTGTTTTTAAAATAAATCAAATATAAGTTAGACTTTTAAAGCGTTTACTTATCGAGATTGTTATTTTTATTTGGTTATTATATGTTTTATAAATATATATAAAATATAGATTTATTAATATGATATAAAACATAAATTAAGTTATATATAAAAGGATTGATCTACACAAAAATTAATTGCACATAGGAAAACCCAAACATAACGTTTTTAGCTTAAGTCAAAGTTGAAAAAGCTTTTTTCATTTGACATCTCTTAATAACTACAGAAGTTTTTATTACTGCAGTGTTGATTAAAAAAAAAAATCAAAGGTTTTTTTTAACTAAACACTGCAGAGCTTACCTCCAAGAAAAAAAATAGTGTTAAAATCAAAACTTACTTTCAAGAAAAAAAAAATGGCTTTAAAAATTATTTATTAAAAAGTTTTTTGCTAATGTTTTGATAAATACTTTGTTTTGGAACGTTTAAATAATATGAAACTTATTCTTTAAGGATTATTTAAGATATGTAAATAGTCAATGCATCGGCAGGCTGATGCATCGGTGCACCCATAGTATATATATATGCGACATGATGGCAGAGGGATATGCTTGTGGTAGCCTCCTCCCTCCTCCCTAGTTAAAATCGGTGTGGCAACAATTTTTAAATATCACATTGTTTATGTTCACCTCGCTTAGTTTTATCTGAAAATAAGGAGTTGATTTAAAAATCTCGTTGTATAAGGCATTTCTTTGAATACTTGAATTTAACAGTAGATGTAAGTGTATGCTACTTTTGGTACGCTAAAAAAAACTTTTATATTAAAGATTTTGATAAATGTTCAAGTTGCAAATATTTATTGAAAATTAGTTAAAGTATTTTAGACATTTAGCAACTCTATTTTAATAATTTTAATTTTAGTAGTTATTAAATGTTAAAAATACTTTAGTTAATTTTCAATAAATATTTACAAATACCATTGTATTTGCAAAATTAAAATGATAGTAATTACACTTATTAAATGTTTACATCTCATATTCGAAGATATTTATTTCTAAGAAGACTAATTTATTTTAAGTATTGTCTACATGTAATACAATGCATTATATAGACAATAACTATTTGAATACAAAACATAAATGTTTTAATAAGTGTATTTACTACAATTTAATTTTTATTTTTATTTAAATATTTGCAGTTCTCTTTGTTTAACTTTCAAGGCTTTAAGGTGCTTTTTAAATAAAAGAGATGATTACAGTAAACTTAATGACAAAAATGTATATCAAGTCTTCCCAGGAAACACGTGCCGTATTCCGCCTGTCCATATATAAAAGTTTTTTATTTAGACAACTTGGTCACGGTTGTTTGCAAGTTTTATATATTAGGCATTTCAATACTTTGTGGCAAAAACTAAATTTCAAAAAAAAAAAAAAAAATGCAAAACTAACAAAATAGGAAATTAAAGTAAATTTAAATTTAAAGAAAATAATAATAATTCATATTTTAAATAATTTGTGTACTGTCTTTTATTTTAGTTTCTTTAGGGTGGTTGTTATTTTCAGCAGCGAAAGTAAAGGTAAAGCAAAAAAAAAAAAAATACAGTTTTAAGTCATCATTAAAAAAACTGATTCATTCTTGATCATTTTTTTTTTTTAAAGAGGAGAGTGAAAATAAAAATCTGTTTGTAAAATATATTTGTATAATTTTGATATAACAAGTATATATTGTTCCTATATATATACTTCTATGTAATCCATGCATATATGTTAATATACACTTATATTTTGGTCTATTTCATAGGCTCTACTTTCTTTATCAGTTTTTTAATTATATAACTAAATTTATAAGTCTATCAGTACATACAGCTTTTAGAAAAAGAAGAAGAAAACGAAGAAAATAAATGAAAAGATTGCTTCCCCATTCCAAACCCTCAGTTGATGTAGCAGCACTCCACTGCGAGTCAGACTATTTGTCAATCGATGTGTGTACTGAAGCCCCTGGCAGCAGGCTATTTTAGTATGACATCAAATTGCTTACCTTATTATGCAATACTATTTGTATATATATATATATATATATATATATATATATATATATATATATATATATATATATATATATATATATTAATTATCTTCGCTTCCAACAAGGCTTCAAGCAACCACTAATTAGTGTTGGAAGTTACTGGAAGAGAAAAGAAGAAGATTGTAGAGCAAGATAACGATTGACAGACGACTTAAAAGATTGCAAATTATATGAATCAGGAAAGCAAGATGAAGAAAGCGAATTCCAAAAAACTGATGTTCGAGGAAAAAAAACTAGACGAATATAAGTTTTTGGAGCACTTAGGAACAGAAACAGAAAATGGATGAGACTTAATTGAATGACGAGTAACACGAGAATGAATTTTAGTAGATGGCACAAGAGACGCTAGCTCTTTCGAGCAGTGCCCATTAAAGTATTTGTAGAAAAGAGAAAGAGAAGCAACATTACAACGATGTGACAGAGGTTGAAGGTTGGCTGCAAGAGCAGGTCCAACTATGTTTACAATGCGTTTTTGCACCTTGTCTAAAAGAGAAAGAGCATCATTAGAAGATCCGCCCCAGATATGGCAACAGTATTCCATACAAGGCTGGATTTGAGATTTGTAGAGATAGAGAATAGAATCCAGAGTAAGAAAGTTTCGAGCTCAATAAAGAGAAGCAACTTTAGCAGATGCTAATTTTGCAACGGATTTGATATAAGGTTTCCAAGAAAGATTAGAAGTAAGAGTTAATCCTAGAAGATGAAGGGTAGGAAACTCATCGAGTACATTACCGTTCATAAATATAGGAAGGTTTAAACTATTGCGATAACGATTGGCTGAAAAAAATTGAGTTTTATCTGAATTAAAGTTCACCAGCCACTGTGAGCCCCATGCTGTAGCAGAAGTGAGATCCTTTTCAAGCTCAGATGCCCCCTGCAAGCAATTGGAGGGAGTTGGCTTCTTATCGTGACAAGAATAAATGGTAGTATCATCAGCAAACAATGCCGCCTTAGGTGTGAGAATGTCTGGAAGATCGTTAATGTAAATTAAAAAGAGTATAGGGCCAAGGATTGAACCTTGGGGAACCCCTGAGGTTACAGAATAAGAAGAAGAGTGCTGTCCATCAAGGACAACTTTTATACTACAATTGGAAAGAAAGGATTCAATAATCTTAAAGATGTTTCCAGATACACCGTAAGAAGAAAGCTTATGGAGAAGACCAGCATGCCAAACTTTATCAAACGCTTTAGAAATGTCGAGAGCAATGGCCTTAGCCTCTCCACCTTTATCTAATGTGCGATAAAACCTATCGGTTATTACTGATAGCAAATCAGCCGTAGAACGAGAAGATCAAAATCCATATTGATGATCAGAAAGTAGGTTATGAGATTCGAGATTCGAGATTAAGTGTTTGTTAAAGATTCAAAAACCTTGCTTATGATAAGAAGAAGACTAATGGGACAGTAGTTAGACAAATCGGATCGCTCTCCAGAATTTTTAAAAATAGGGATAACAGAAGCTGCTTTCCAGCAGGCTGGAAAACAAGACTCTGATAAGCACTTGTTAAATAGTTTTGAAAGGATAGACGACAGCTCCGGAGAACACTTCTGCAAGACTATAACAGGTATGTTGTCCGGGCCGCAAGCTGTAGAAGAGTCTAAGCGGGAAGATACAGAAGCTGGAGTGATACAAATGTTG